TATTTTTTTTTTAACATGACATTTATTTCTCCCAAACGAAATTTACTATTTCAGTTAATAAATAAATAATAAATTAACATTTTAATGCATCTGTCATTTTATTTTATTTGTTGGTGGTATGTGCTAATAACTATTGCTATTTAACTATTATTTATGAATTACCCCTAAACCAAAGTTAGCACAGGTTTTATACAAATAAGCAAATAATACAAAATACAAATAATATACAATGACTGACATGTTAACCATGTGATGATTTAAAAAATAAATAAATAAATAATAAATTACATTAATACAATAGTTTTTTTGTTTGTTTTTTTTTTACTAAGAAACTGTATTTACTTTTCCTTCTTTAAATTGTGCTAGCGAATTCTTGTGCATAAGAATTTATGGTAAACAAAAATCTACTTTAATGTAATTTCTATTGAAACTTTTGTATTGTATTTGAATATATGTACAAATGTTACACATTTGCAGTGATAAAGTAGCAATTTAGTACATTTAAAATATATTAACTTTAATTGTAATATCAAACAACACACTACCAATAAATTATAATCAAGTACTTTACATATGCTTTAGTATGTTAGTCAACACATCAAATAAGTGTACTTTTTTAAAGAATAACAAAAGATTGTTTAACCATAATTCACTCTAAAAAAAATCACTGGATTAAAAACAACCCCAGTTTTGGGTAAATATAGGACAGAACACATGTTGGGCTAACCTGACCCGATTTTATCAATGAAATAAAACACACACCTGTATCTCACCACAGAAATGCACCAGTTCGACGACGCTGTGAAGCGCTCTTTCCTGCAAGAGGATGGAATAGCTGAGTAACTCAGCCGGTTATGTCATGTCGAGGGGTGGGAAAGGGGTGCATTTGACCAGCCAGTAACACAACACTGAAAAAAGAACCCCAAAAATGACCGAATAAGCTCAACCCAGCGTTTGGGTTAAAAAAATTACCCAGTATCTTTTTAGAGTGTAATGACTGAGAATATACTTTAAAGTAAAACATTTAATTTGACTTGATTTCAAAGTTCACTTTTTAAAAGTGTACTTAAGTGTGTTAAGAAATATAGTCATGAAAGTGTCTCACTTTAAGTTCACTTAAGTGGCCTTTTATTTCTGTAATATTATGTACAATGTGCAAGTACAATGTTTTAAATAAATATACTTTCAAGATTTGAAGTGCACATTCAATACTATTAAGCGCACAAGGGTTACTAAAAGTAAGTAACTTGCTTAAAGGGACAGTTCACCGAAATGAAAATTCTGTCATTATTTACTCACCCTCATGTCATTCCAAGCCCGCAAGACCTTCGTTCATCTTCGGAACACAAATTAAGATATTTTTGATGAAATGTGAGCGCTCTCAGACACTGCATAGACAGCAACACAACTGAAATGTTCCCAGGTCCAGAAACGAAGTAAGGAAATCGGTAAAATAATCCATGTGACATCAGTGGCTTAACTTCAGTTTTGCGAAGCTACGAGAATACTTTTTGAGTGCAAAGAAAACAAAAATAACATAATTGATTTAACAATTCTTCTCCCCGAGTTACGTCTTCCGGCATTTTGGAGAGTCTCCAAGAGCATAATCTGCGTAATCAGCGTCGTTTATGTTCGGGGGAGAAAGCGCGCGCATGAACGTAATCTGCGTAATCAGCGTTGTTTACGTTCGGGGGAGAAAGCGCGCGCATGAACGTAATCAGCGTTGTTTACGTTCGGGGGAGAAAGTGCGCGCATGAACGTAATCTGCGTAATCAGCGTTGTTTACGTTCGGGGGAGAAAGCGCGCGCATGAACGTAATCTGCGTAATCAGCGTTGTTTACGTTCAGGGGAGAAAGCGCGCGCATGAACGTAATCTGCGTAATCAGCGTTGTTTACGTTCAGGGGAGAAAGCGCGCGCATGAACGTAATCTGCGTAATCAGCGTAGTTTGCGTTCGGAGGAGAAAGCGTGCGCATGAACGTAATCTGCGTAATCAGCGTTGTTTACGTTCGGAGGAGAAAGCGCGAGCATGAACGTAATCTGCGTAATCAGCGTTGTTTACGTTCGGGGAGAAAGTGCACGCATGAACGTAATCTGCGTAATCTGCGTTGTTTACGTTCGGGGGAGAAAGCGCGCGCATGAACGTAATCTGCGTAATCTGCATTGTTTACATTCAAAAAGTATTCTCGTAGCTTCGCAAAACTGAAGTTGAGCTACTGATGTCACATGGATTATTTTACCGATTTCCTTACTTCGTTTCTGGACCTGGGAACATTTCAGTTGTGTTGCTGTCTATGCAGGGTCAGAAAGCGCTCACATTTCATCAAAAATATCTTAATTTGTGTTCCAAAGATGAACGAAGGTTTTACGGGTTTGGAACGACATGAGGGTTAGTAATTAATGACAGAATTTTCATTTTTGGGTGAACTAACCCTTTAAATTGATGATTTCATTAGTTTGCTACTGAAATAAAGGACAAACTCACATCTGTTCTTGTGGTCAGTGTGCAATAATGATGTCAGAATCAAGAAGGGTAAAGATGTTGGAAATCAAGCACTTTCCACTTCTATTCCAGACTCTTACATTGTTTGTGTTTTAAGAGGAACTCTAAGGCAAAGAAAGCAAGTGTGTTGTGTTCAAATCCCCATGAGCGATTACCGGCACTCGTTTGAAGGGTTGTTTTACATGATCGGTGACCTGAGATCTGAGCAGACGAATCCGCTGACACATTGAGAGTGTCTTCATCTGACTGACACGTGTCATTCACTCTGTAGTGTGTGTGTGTGTGTGTGTGTGTGTGTGTGTGTGTGTGGAGATTCAGGCCCCAGCTGTGCTGCTTCTGTTGTGCCTCTCATTAGGGCATCACTGAGGACAATATAGGAGCTGAAGAGTTACGCTTTAAACCCCTTCCAGGCATTCAGAGCTCGTTTGGTTGCAGCTAACTAAACAGCAATAAGGGATCATCTGTTTTTAGTTAGGGATGTTAAAGTTGCTACTTCCTGAAATGACCACTAGAAGACACAATTTCACTAAATTTCTTCAGTATCCAGCTGAAGGCTACTGGTCTGCAATACCATTGTGTATGAATACTTTATCAATTAAATAATATATCAATGTTTTTTTTCATAATACAGTAATGAATATTAAATTTGTTGTTGTTGTTGTTGTTGTTGATGATGTTTCTTGCAGTACAAAAAGGACAATGCTTAATTGCTAAACATACTGTCATGATGAACAAAAATATTAATAATCTTTAATATAATGGTCCATATATACAGTCTATTTGTACAGTGCCCTTTAAATATAGCAGACTTGTCTGTTTAATACAATTAAATAATCAATGATTAATTAATCATTATGCACTTAATATTAAAAAATATATACACTGTATATACACTTAATAGTCTATATATATATATATATAAAGGTTTTGAAAGAAGTCTCTTCGGCTCACCAAGGCTGCTTTGGTTAGATTAATAATACAGTAAAAACAGTAATATTGTGAAATATTATTACAATTTAAAAGAACTGCTTTCTATTTGAATATATTGTCAAACTGAATTAATTCCAGTGATGCAACGCTGAATTATCAATGTTGAAAACAGATGTGCTGCTTCATATTTTTGTGGAAAACATGATGCATTATTTCAGGATTTTTTGATGAATGGAGAGTTCAAAAGAACAGTGTTTTATTTAAAATAGAAATGTTTTGTAACAGTATACATCATTACTGTCAGTTTTGATCAATTAAATGCGTATTTGCTGAATAAAAGTATTAATTTCTTTCGAATAAAATCTTACTGACCCCAAACTTTTGAACGGTTATGTACATTGAGTTTTATCAGACATCTGAATCCCATGTGGGTTCATCATTGAGCGAATGTCTGCCTAAAATAATGATTACATTTTGTTCTACCTAAAGAAAGTAATTTTGCAAAAAGAATATACTCTCATACAAAAGCATTACAAATGATGAAACGGCAATAAAATAATTGCCAAAAAAAAAAATGTCCCTGTAATGTCCAAATCATGGCTTTATCTCCCTTTTTGTGCTTATAGGTCAGTACAGTACACCAGCTGCTACTCTGGCACGAGATGAACCTGCCATCTCTGTGAAAAATTAAACATGAAATCACAATAGACTTTATTTATAGTTAATAAATGTCACTAGTGTTACTGTGAACAATTGATAAGTGGATGTTATTCCAAAAAAAAAAAACATTTGTTTTCATACCTTACATCACTTGTTATAATCAAAATTAAATCAACATTCCCCACTTCTGAAATGTAATTATGTAAAATAATATAATCTCATGGAATGTGATGTAATTTGTACATTTTTAGGCTTGGAAAATCACTGAAATATCTATAGTCAGTATAATTCTATCTAGTAGCAGATTCATGTTCGTTTTTAACAGAGAAAGAACTTAAATTCATAATTCAAATTGCATATTCTTGTTCTTCTCTCCCTTTTTTCCCCAGTAGTGATGCAGCATCCTTCTCCTCTTATTGAGTGCTAGTGCAAGTTATTGCATAGGTCAAGTCCTACCCTGTTTTGGTGTCTTGGTCTCACGCACACGCCGGCCGCTCATCAGGGCAGCGACAGCTCAACAGCGGTTCATTTTCCGCTGAGGATAGACAGCATTCTTCCCGTGCGTGAGTACGCTTTAATTAACAGTGTTATTGGGATCTTGTGAGGCTGTGATTTGAGGTAGATCTTCATATGCAGGTAAATCTGTGCCGGCCTCAGAGAGTGTAACCGGTGCATGTGGCGGCTCCTCCTCGGGTGCCAGGATGTCAAACGGGACGTCAATGGACTGGACAGACTGACGAATGCTCTCCTCATATGTGGGAGGCGGCTGTGGTAAAAAAAAACAACACAGCGATAAAGCTTGACTTCAACCACTCGTGTGACACCACAATGAACAGTTTGTTCAAGAATTCTGATAATGTCACCTATTTTTTTTGTGTTAAGCCAAAAGTACAAGCCTGGAAGGTGATTAATGAATTCTATCTAGGATTTAGAGTTTATTACTTCATCAGCTAGGAAAAAAAAACTCAAGGTGATCACAGCGATATCGTTCTTCTGTGACGTTATCATTCAAGTGGCGTCTGGACTGCTCCAATCTCTTAAAGTGTGCTGTGGTTGGTTAAAAACACACTAGCAACTCTGTAGCAACTACTTAAGGCCTTACACAATGGCCTGACAACTGTCCACAATACACTAGTGTCATTTCTTGAGACAAAATACAGTAGAAAACATAACAATCTAGTTTCCTCATATTATTTTACAGTTATTTAACATTGCTAATGCTTAGCAGGTGAGTACACCCCCAAAGATAAGGACCTTTGCATTTAATTCAGAGCTCAACATTTATTTAAACAAATTTAGTTGGCGATATCACTGCTCGGCTTGTGCCTTGCAGCAACTTACTCTTGTTATTTTATCTCTCCTTCTTTCTTCTTTCTCTTTATCACATATAAGCTTCGAGCTCTGAGTCTTCCCTTTAGCCTCCTAAAAAAACAGGGCCACTTTAGGGCAGACAAAACTGTGGTTCTCAGCTGGAGAACAAGCTAATTAAGCTCAATAATATGGTTAATGAGTGAAGGGCGGCCCCCATGAGTGAAAGATCCACCCATTGCAACCTGGGGGAGTTAAGGAGAGGACAGATGGACAATGAGCCGTATTCTCCACTAATGTTTATTATATTTGTATTATGTATTATGTTTGATGTGCATTAATTCCCATTAGTGTGTGTACTCAAGCGTTTTCCTGGCACTAAATCAACATCAAAGGGCCTCGAAACGTTCGCAGCGTGTGTGCGTCATGGCAACAGCGCAGGTGACGGACACCGGGCCTGTTTGTGCGGCAGTGAATGGCGTCCATTTCTCAGATTTGATGATGTTATGGAGCAGAAAAGTGTGGGTCATTCATATTGAAAATCTATTGTTATTCAATTCAGTCAGACTGCAGCTGCTGAGAGACAACACTGTTGTAGCATGGCTTCGATAAAGCGACATTTGTAAGCTTTGGGTAGTTGACAGACTGATGTGAACTTTTTTTCATTATTAAGATTTTATGTTCAACTGTATATATTTGAATACGTTCATACGTGTATGTTTTTAGATGAAGTCATCGTCGATATTTCAGCACTTTCAACTAAGTAATTAACTGTCTAATGAGGTCATGAAAACTCCATGTACAAAAATTGTAATAGAAAAAAATGCTTTTAAAAGCTTTTAAAGATAATCCGCAATTTTACCGCATTGTTACACCCCAATGCTGCAGACACACATATAAGTTTCACCTTTTTTTGCTTGCTCATTTTGAATGGATTTTAAGTCATCCTAGGTGTATATGACTTTCTTCTTTCAGACGAGTTATATTAAAAATTGTCTTTGATCTTTCAAGCTGTTTAATGGCACTCAGTGTGTGTTGCATGCATCAGTCCAAAAGAAGTGAAATAAAAAGTGCCCATACATTAAAAAAAATTTCTCACACGACTCCGGGGGGTGAACAAAGGCCTCCTGTAGCGAATCGATGCGTTTTTGTAAGAAAAATATCCATAATCAAAACATAATAATCACTGTAATCTAGCTTGCGCTCACTGTTGTAAACGGAAGCAGCTCCGGGCGGATGACATATGAGTTCAGCGCTGCGCATGCGCACACCTAGGATGGCTTGAGGGTGAGTAATTTATGGACTACTTTTCATTTTTGGGTGAACTAACCCTTTAAGTATGTTAAGAAAAAGTCACGAAAGTGTCTCTTTTTAAGCACAGTTATTTCATTAAAATTATATTATCTGCAAGTATTTAAACTTTTAAGATCTGAAGTACACTACCCCACATTCAGCTGTGTATTTTTGCTTATATTGTAATATGTAAATGCATGACCAGTCATATTTGAAAATATATCGATTTTAATTTAATAAGTAGAAGTTGATGATTATGGGCAAAATCCAGCTTGTTTCTATCCAGCCAAATTATTAAGATATAACTTTTGCTTTTAAGTGCAAAATGTTTTTACTTTGAAGATGGTGAAGTGGCATGTCATGCGAACCGGTCATTCGCAGATTAAGACCGTAACTGCAGCTAAACGAGTCACCTCTGTCACAACAGGTCCGTTCAGACCGAAGCGGTCGGCTATCATCATGTGGATCTGCCGCTGTCTGTCTTTCTTGCGTACGCTCTCGTACGAGGGCAGACGAGGAAGAGGAGGCTCTTGTGAGGAAAGGTAGTAGCTGCTCGGCACACCAATGAGGAACAACGAGCCCGACTGACAAGCACAAGCAGAAACAAAATATGAATACATGATATGTGACATACTAAATGAGGAACTAAAACTGGTGACGTTAAGAAATGACAGATTCTATTTCTAGACAATTTAACCCTTGTGTTGTTCCAAACCTGTATTTCTTTCTTTCTTCTAGAAAAGTGGACTTCTTTCCATTCAGGAAAAGTATTTTGGTGCCTATTGGTCATACAGGTTTATAACTACATGAAGGTGAGTAAATGAAGGCAGATTTAATTATGGGTAAACTACTGTGTGGGAGGATGCAGATTCATTCATGTTCTTTAAAAATTCCTACCAAAAAAAGCACTTACCTGCGCATTCACATTATCAAGTGTTTGCTCAGCATCAGACGAAGCAACTAGAGTCTGTCTGCTGTTGTAGTACTGAGGAGGAGATTCCTGTTCAATCAAGAAATGACAAACCCTGTTAATAAGACATTTCTGATATCATCAATGATTATTCATCACACTACCGCTCAAAACGGTTTTTATTGTTTTTTTGAAAGATGTCTCTTCTGCTCACCAAGGCTGCATTTATTTGATAAAAAATACAAGTAAAATATTGTGAAATATTATTTCAATTTTAAATAAATATTTTCTATTTGAATATATATTAAAATATAATTTATTCCTGTGATGCAAAGCTGAATTTCCAGCATCATTACTCCAGTCTTCAGTGTCACGTGATCCTTCAGAAATCACTCCAAAATGCTGATTTGCTGC